CTATTCTACATGTAGACAAGCGCTAAGTGGCATTTGGCTACAACTGCTGGTGCCACAATCGTTGTTTGAAGAGACTATGTCCGCCTTTTTTCTACGGTCTTGTTTTAAATATTATTTTATTTCATACGTTAAAAATACATAGTCCAATATTGAGATATTTTTCTAATTATGAAGTTAAATAATTGTCATTATGTTCAAATATAGTTGAGTTACCAAAAATATTCATTTCCGAGAAATAGGTAATTATCACTGTTTTCAGCTGGGATTTTGTGACATATCAAATTAATATTTTTAATATAAGTTGCACTAAAATTTGGCAATTTTGTAAATTATCACTGTTTAAAAAAGCTGCCTAGGTATGCGTTTAACCTTCTAATCCCTAAAGGGGTAGATAGAGTTCCACATATGCAATGTAACACTCAATTTCCCCAGTTATATCATGAGTTCCATGTAATAGGGGATAAGTTCTGTAGACTACAATTCATTAGGCCTTTATAATTATTATAAATTCATTAATTAATACTTTTAGAATTCATAATCGAGATTTCGGTATAGAATTATTTCATTAGATCATTCCTTAAATGGTAGGTACAGATATACATTCTTGTAATTACCGTTTTTTGGCGCCAAAATAGTTATTTTATAGGTAAAAACTAAGGACGTTGAAAAATGGCGGACATAATATCACTTATAAATGATTGAAGCAGAAAAATGTCAGTGGTGTATTTATGTGTGCGGGTGTAATGAGTTACCACGTTACCAGACTTAAACTGTCAAACACCGCGAGGACCCCGGTGACCGCATCCTATTGTTCTTTAATGTGTCTATAATGACGGTACTCGACGAGTTAAGAAAAGGACAGATGTCCTTTGTGTCAATGTGTATTTTCCGCCTGTAAGTCTATTGTAGCCAGGTGCCACAGTCGCTTGTCCAAGAGACTGTGTCCGACATTTTTTCAACGTCCTTGCTAAAACTAGGTTGTTTAGAAATATGACATAGATACTACTCGAATCGAGTTGAATAGATCGATTATTGTAAAATTTGATAT